TCTATTCTCTCAAAGACTTAAATTCCATTCTCTGCACTCTTTGCTTCATATATCCAAAACGGCTGGACCTTTCTTTATCTAACTAACAAGTACATCTACCCATAATAGGAATCACTTATATCACAACAAATAGATCATATCAAATAAACAATTATCTGACTATATTCGGCAAAACTTCCAGCTTTATAATAAATCATTATAGAAATGTGTTTTGATTGCTACATTATTCAACCAATGTAAATATAAATTTTATTGAATCCTTTCAACAGATTTTTAGATAACACTGTGTATAACCTTGATCTGGTATTTCGTCAGAAATAATCATCAGTCGAATTGGAATTACTATTTATTCAACTTATCTCTTTTAAGATTGCTTTTTTAACTTTTTTTTTTATTAACTATTTTCTCTCGTTTACACCTTCGCCAGGGTAAAGGCTTGATAGTCGTTTTTAACTCACCCACATGTAAGCTTTTATAAAGGCTATATAAATTAAACCTTTGAATCTAACTTAAAAATAATAATACATCTGATAAACAATTTAAATGACGCGGTCTTGAAAATTACTTTAAAGTTTCATAAAAATAATAAGCAGTATGCTCACAACTAAAGAAACTAACAACGAAAGGAAATACTTTTGTTCCGAATTTTCAAATAATGTCGTTTATCTCTCGAAAGTCGTAAGAATCAAGGTGATGGCTGATTAACATCTTTTTCCCTCTACTATCAAATATTGTTCATGCATTTTCATTTTTATTTGCAATATAAAATTTAATTTTTAATTTAACTATCCTTACGGCACTATAATCCCGGTGTCTTGTACTTAGTAACATATGCAGAACGCAAGCGAAACAAAAGTGGCGTACCTGCACGCTGCGAAAACACATTACGACACCGTGCAAACAAACTAACGAGATGCATTCCGTCGCGGCTATTCGAACGCTTAAGACGAAAACTCCTAATGAGGGCAGAACCGCGCTTAGAAAACGATCGACATAAATCTCATCATTTAATTGTGTAACTTTCAGAATACACAGAATTCTATTCGTAAATGACATCATCAACGATGGCAATCACAGTTAAAAGGTATGAATTGGTGTGTAAAAATATTTATTTTTGCAATGAACGACTACTTAGCTGTTCACCCATAAAGTTTGAACGTTTAACGAATATTTATGGTCCGTTTGTCAAGAAATTTAACAAACTTAACTCGTTATAGTCAATTATGTATTTTTTACAGTACACGCCTATAATAAATGAAAATTTATTAATTTATAATAAACTATTTTCAAATTAATTAAAATAAATTAAAATTTTCATTGTTCACAAAAATGTCAAAATTTCATGACATATTGTTTTATTATCCGCTGACGCCAAAGCTTACTTGATCACCACATCATTCCGCGTTCAGTGTTGACGTCAAACCTTAGGTGATCGGAAACACGCTGTATTTAATTTCTGTGAGGACCGATCCCCTTTAGAGTGTAGAAGAGTTGTAGAATTGGCGCCTGTGCATTTTCTGGCAATATCCTCTTCATTTGATGTTGTCTAGCTTGTTGTAACCCAAAATCTTGTTGTACTGGATAGTTACTGTGCTCGCGGAGACCCAAGGTCCGGGTATACTGGAGATGTATGCTGACAAAAGTCTGGTGGTCAGGGCTAGTAAATGTATTAGCCGGCGGTGACCTAGGCGTACTAGGTAAGCAGGCCGACAGAAGACAAGTAGTCAGGGTTAATAAATGTGAAAGGGATTACTATAAATTTCTGAAGCTCCAATGACGCATCTCTTTGAAATTTGATTGTCATTAATGATCCAATCGTTGCACCATTGTTTATATATTTTGATTTTTGATCAGCGCTTATTAGCAATTTTAGTTTCATAGTCGGTGGTCACCAATGTAGATATGTTTTAATTTATAATAAATTATTTCTAAATGAATAAAAATATAATAAAAAGCTCATAATTTACAAAAATATGAGAAAGGTATAAGGTCCTGTAAAAATGCAATGACATATTGTTTTATTGTCCGCTGACGCCAAAGTTTTCTTGATCGCCACAAATTTATAAAGGCTGATGATCTTTTATAATATCAAATTTTAATAATAATTTAAAGTATAATGTAATGATCTGAGACATGTACTCTGATAAATCATAAAAGATTTATATTACCTTGTACAATTTAGACTTGTGGTGATGGAAAAAATAAAGATGAACTGATTATTGAAGGAGAAAGTTCTGTGGAGAGTAAAAAAGAAAGAAGTCTACTAGATAATATGATGAAAAACTATTATAAAAGCGAACATTGAAACGGAATTATATTGATCCTTCTGCGCTATCTCTTTGAAGATAGGATAAATGTAAATGTATTCCAATTTATTTTTTTGCATAAAAAGATTATGCAAGGAAAAGAATCAAAATTTGTTAGAAAAAGAAAGTTTTCTTCGCGACGCTTTCAAAGACCAAATACATAGATATATATAGCTCTAATTCTCTCAGATGATGCCTTTAAGTATGCTCTCATTTATTAAGTAATTGCCATTAAGTGAGACCATATTGACACGATGCCATGCACCAATAGTTAATTAATTCGCTTATCACATAGACTTTTTCTTATAAAAGAAAATTAATAAAATAAACCATAACAAATTGATCTTCTTCTGTGTTTTCCTTTTCATAAAATCACAATAGTTTCAAATATCATATTATGTCTAAACGAAAGAAAGTCTACCAGAGTGCATAGTTTGATACTGCAAATGCAAACAAAGGCGGCTGAACTCACATGTCGCACAGATTTCAGTATGGCAATTCGATTTGTTAGTTTGTTAAACCGAACCGGTTTCTTGGTATGATACAATTACATGTATTGTAAATTAAAGCAAACGATTCAATGTGCTCGGAAATATTATCTTTACGAATGAGTATCCGTCGGCGATTTCTATTGTGCCTAGATTCCAACGCGAATTCACATTTCACTTCATAGAATATTCAGCTCAATTATCAAAATATCAAACTGATATTATGAATTGCATGTATAATTTGGCACTTTACTTTCAATTCAGAGTGCATTGTTAATTATAAAAAACATGTTTACATGAATAACGATTACCTAAAAATAACGACGCATTAAATTATAAAAAATATTGTTATACTTATATTGATGATTCGGCATTGTTTTCGGATAGTTACCATGATAAGTTTTATTATATATAATATTTATTGCAAAGAATTATATGTAATAATATTGTTATTTTTTATTATTATTATTTTTGAACACCAATCAGAACCTAATAGTCCCAAAAGCTGTTGTGCTGATTTTGACTTAATACTAGTCTGTTTGACAGATTGCAACCCAAACAGTTGTCACATCTCTGCATGATGAATTATTATTACAATTTCTGTAATAGGGTGAGTATTTTTATTGGTGCAGCGAGGGCTATTTTCACTTGGAAACATATTGCTATCTATATTTCCAAGTAAAAATCGCTGTCAAAGTTGCCTGGCAACAGGTTGCTCGAAGTGGGTATCGAACCTGGGACCTCTGAAACAAGTCCCATCGCTCTTACCCGCTTACCTACAGGCGAACCCATAAATAACATTTATCACAAAGAATTATGCATGAAAAGTTTATGCTTTTGCCAGAAATTTGGAGTTGCCATATTTATGTTTTCTCGACATTTCAAATCATTCTGAGCCGATTGACAGTAACTTAGAAAAAAATAGGTGTTATGTAGTAAAAACCAAAACTTCTTCAGAATTAGCAAAAAATGCTAAATGATCCGTCAACTTACCTTTCTTTAATATCAGAGGAAAATCGTACGATAAGTTTTTGGTAATAATGACTTTATCCACTTCTTTTAATAAATTTTTAATTTATTTTGACGATTTCAATAAAAAATTACAAAGTAATAGATTTCACAGTTCAAACAACATTCTAAATTATTATAATTCATTAAAATTTGGAATAATGACCTACGCTCTTTGGACATACATTGTTCAAATTTTTTCTGTTCTTTATACTAATCAACGTTTTACATCGAATGGATATCAATTGTAAATCGCGTTGATTAAGTTGTTAGTGAAAAAAGATAATTTTATTTTCGAAAAAGCCAGTTAAAAATTATATTGCAGAATCTCATTTCCTATTGATTAGGTCAATAATCATAATTTACAAATAAATTTGAATATATTCTATTAAAAAATAACTAGTGTGTTGTAAATATGAAAGCAGAATTTTGTTTTTTCAATTTACTATACTAGTAAAATGTATCTGATAGGCAGCTGAACGATATTCATAATGATGGGCACATATTACTATCATGATCCATGTAGCAACGTCTATAATCATGAATTGGTTTAAGCACCATCTACATGAAATGGAGTTCTACTCAAACTAGTCCTCTGTGCGCCTTCACAGCTATTGCATAACCAAAAAATTTTGTCAGTGTGCGGATTACTATATCTTGCACGAGGCATTTCTCAAGTGGTAAAAATCTGCAGCGCTTAAAACAGAAAAAGTTTGGAAAAGTTCTGGACCATCTATGTACAACTCCAAGCATTTCTCTTAAACACAACCGTTTGCTTCCTTCTTCTACATATGTACACATCAAAGATCTCGAATATGAAGCGTGCTTATGTAATGTAAGATTAATTTTAACAGAAAATAATAATTCTAAATTTTAACGTAAGGTGTTTATCTGCTCCATTGCAAATTTACATATTATTCAATGATATCGAGAAAAATCATTGTTTATTACTTTTTATCATGACATTTATAACAAATCATAAGACCATTTTTATCATGACTGCTAAAACTATCAAAAGTTACAAAAATAGTTTGAAGCGGTCAATTGATATTTGCATTCATATCGTATGCTTAAATTTATTCCAAATCCATAAATATTTATATAGTCCTTAATAATTCACAGTTGGCATACCTGTACTTCGGAAATATCCAAGAAGAAATGGTTTACTCAATATGTCAAATAACGTGCCTCACCGATAAATTAAGTTGTGCTGTTCTTGTGACGATAAATTGACGAAAGTATAATAATGTGTACTAGAATGACTATGTCTAAATGTTGTTTTAAAAACAGCAATTAAATGTTTTTGCGTGTAACTATAGTGGTATAGAATCTGCATAGTTTAATCGACCGAGAAATACGTGTTATAAGTGGTAAGTTTTGCAATAATTTTATTTCTGTTGCATCATTTATTAGTGAAAAAAATAACATGAAAATAAATATTGCATTATGTATGATTTTCTACTTCTTGATGTTTCTGTACTATTCATATAGATTTTTTTTATTTAGTAAAATAAAACTTTTAATATTTATAGTTATTTAATACAGTGGCATATACAGACAAATTGTTTGCGTAAGAGATCATGTAAATATTTTATAAACTATTATAATAGTTCAGCCTCCAAATTAGGAATTGTTTTATATAAACGTATAATTGTATATAAGTATATAAAACAATTCCTAATTAGAATCAGAACTATTATGACAATTTTTAAAATATTTATTATGATCTCTTACACCGAACAATTTGTCTGTATATGTGCACATATACACATACACATACATACATATACAAATATAAAATAATTAATGATATCATTTCCAATATTAAAACAATAATAGTTTAGTTTATTCTTATATGTTCTTATGGGTTATTAACCTGTTATTAAGGCGTCCCCTGACATCTAGCCAAAAGTGATCTCAGTAAACATAATCATCTTTTGTTATATTTGTCAATAAAAATATTGTTTTAGCTAAAAAGTTTAAATGTTCGTATTTTCTCATCGGATTAAATCTCCATTCATTAGATAAATCCTATTTTTATAAAATTAATATATGGAGCACACCAACTATAGGTTGATCTAATTTCATGCGGTCGCTTGTTATCTTTTAGACCTTCATTTTCAGCAAACCAGCTTGTCTTTCATGGTTTAAAGGTTATTAATATTCTGATTTGATTCAAGTTTCTTAATAATGCTCATAGAAATTATACATATTTTTCTATGACTAAATTTACACTACTTAACAGAGTATCCAAGAAGAACCCCAGTTAGATTTTAGTCTATTAAATTATGCAATAAATTTATAATGAAGCAAAGCTAAGACCATGTCTAAAGGCCAATGTCGTTTCAGTCTCCTTATGCCAATGGTTATGTAATATCACATATTGATGGGTTTGGTTGTGAGTTCAGTTTATGTTTGTATCTTTCGACTACAATTTTTGATCATGTGATTATATGCTACCTAAGGGAGATTTTAAAATTTTGACGTTATTTATATAATCCCACAATAGTAACATGTTTTGATTTTATCGTGTTTGATTTTTGTGTATTAGAATGCAATTTTTCTATTTCAATCATTTTATTTGTTAATTTTATGAATTTTCATATTGGGAAGAGATATGAGTCTGATTATATAGGTTGTTTCCATATATTTTTAAATAAAATACATATTGCCTCCTGCAATACAATTTATATTTGCCGACATCTTAAGCCCTATAAATTGCAATCTTTACTAATCTTCATTTGAGTCTGAATATAATCTTTGTATGTTACAACTAGCCCAATGGCCTTGTTTCAACTAACCCAAGATGTGATTTTTTTACATTAATCAAGATAACAATTTAACAACTTCACAAAATGTGTTACATAATCAAAGATTGATAAATTTGGAACAAAATAAGAAACAAAATTTTAAATTAGACGATAATTATATCGCAAGCCAAAATTTTATGATGAATCAATTTTATATTACCTGTTAAAAATGACGGTCCTGCAAAAGTCTGTTTATTACGGTACAGTAGCTATGACAATATATACAAAACGGTTTACATGTCTAATCGAGATAAAAATAATTAAATATCTTTTAAGAATCTATTAAAATAACTAGGGCTCGCCCGTTGGTAAGCGGTTAAGAGCGACGGGACTTGTTTCACAGGTCTTGGGTTCGATACCCACTTCGAGCAGCCTGTTGTCAAGCAACAGTACAACGATTTTCACTTGGAAATATAGATAGCAAATATGTTTCCAAGTGAAAATAGCTCTCACCCGGAATTGCTGCACCATACTCGCCCTATTACAGAAATTGTAATAATAATTTATCATAAAGAGATGTGACAACTGTTTGGGTTGCCATCTGTCAAACAAACTAGTACTAAGTAAAAATCAGCACAACAGATTATAGGACTATTAGGTTCTGATTGCTGTTCAAAAACGATAATAAGAAAAAAAATTAAAATAACTCCCATATGCCTTAAGTAAGGTATGAAACAATATCATTGAGATAATGCTAGTCAATATACAATAATTTTATCAGTAATATAATATATTATGATATAATTATTTCGCCTTTCGACATTGAATTTTAATAAACAAAAATAGCTGAGTGTGACTAGATAGTTTTAGTTAGTTGTCAGTTTAGTTAATATTTGAATGTTTATTGCGTTCATAATTGATACCTTTGTTTTCTAAGGGGCTATTAAACGGGGCGCAACCGTAAGCCGTAAGCCGTAAGCCGATGCCGATTAAAGGCATAGAAGGCACCCATTGCATAAACCTGTTCTTTCGATGCCGGATAATAATGAACACAACAACACCAGGTCTCCCGATTAGCGAAGTATATTAGTTTCTGCATGGGCGTATTAAATGATTTATACGTTTAGAAAACGTGTTTGTTTTAACGTATTGCAAATCTTGTGGTATCTGCTAATCGTATATCAAAACGGTTTATTAACGGACAAAAGGACTATTGCGTTGCATTAATATATAGCTGACAAACAGTGACCTATTTACCACTTTTAATTATTTGTAATATCTTTGCGCTTGCCCTGACTTTGCTGAATTAAGTTACGGAATTTTTTTAACTTCCTGATGGAGAAGTTTGTTTTCGCTAAAAAATTCGACATACTAATTTTATGTTTTCTCGACATTTCAAGTCATACTGAATCTAATAAGATCAAATTGGAAAAAGTATTTGTATGTGTGTATGTGAGCCGATTTGGACATTCCGTCGTCTTTTTCTCAAAAACGCCTAGATCGATTTCAAAATTTTAAGTGTCCTTCGATATAACTCGATCGAAGGACAATAGTTAGTTAATATAACTTTTTGCGACGATCGGCCGAATTGTTTCTTTGTAATTATGAGAAAAGTGACCAATTTTTTGTCCACGTTATAGCCTACAATTTTAAAACGATTTTAAAAATTCGAAAGAAAGATATTTTACGGGAATCACATTGATTAGTTTATCGTAACAATCGGCCGCGCCGTTCCTTCATGATTAAACATAATTTTTTTTTTTTTGACGATATTGATGAAATTTTCTAGAACGATAAATGTTGTAGTCTGAAATAAAAAAAGCCGAAAGGCTTTCAGGCAGTTCAAGAATGAACCTTATGCATATGCACATGCAGGGCCGGTCTTGGGGTCCTTAGCGCCCGCATGCAACTTTTTTTTTAGCGCCCCCTCCTATTAATTTTAACTGTTTATTATTAAAATTATATAAAAATTACATTTTTTTAAATTAATTTTTAATCATTCTGGATTTAGTACACAAAAAATTAGACAATATCTAAAAGCGTATAAAATGCATTGATTTTAAATTTATTTAGAAAATCTAGGCAATTCGCGGGTTGTTTATAATCAAATATTTTTAAATTTTCAATTATTTTTAACGTATTGCATTATTAATATGTGGGTTTTGAAACATTTGACTTATTTATTATGCTATTTATTCTATTGAGCAAATCATGCCAAGACAACTAAAAAAAACTAGCTTTTTCATTTTCAATCATAACATTCGTATTCCATGTTGGATTTTTTAAATTTTACGTTGATTTAATTTTTCACTATTTCAATATCCAAAATTGCGTTGTAAACTTCTCCTTATTGATATCGTAAGAGCCGAATTGTATTCATCCTTGCTTTCCCGTCATATACAGAGTATCAGATTGTTTCAATTGTGATTGTGATCAATTGTTGACGTATTTTAGAAGTATTATCCAATAATCAGTAAAAAATGCAAAGAAATTACACATTTCTTGAACTATATTGAAAAAAACTAATTATATTTTATATGTATTATTTCTGCATAGTTAATAATTATTAAATTTAGTGTATGGACACCACCAGGTATAAAAAAAGCTTTAAGATTTCCGTTCCAAAGTAAAATTCGCTTTCATTTTTTATATTTGTTCCATTTCCATAACCCTAACCACGCATGTCTTTCAAAGTTCATCAGATGCAAAACATTTGCAACAAAAACAAAAGTTACAATTCAATTTCTCAGAATAAACATGCCATTTTTTAAGCACTGACTCCCCATTTTTTATTATACCGATTATAATTTGTTTATATATTTTAACAAGTTTTGTTTCAACTAAATTAGCTCGCAGTTTTTCGTCAATAATGCCCAATAATTAATTTCATATTTCGCAGGTTTGCGCTTATGGGATTGAACACTAGATAATTTCTTTTTCTATTCCACGGTAACTTCAAACAAAGAAAAAATTGAATAAGTAGAATAAGCAATAAACAGAGCTGGTATTTACTAATTTTCAGAATAATTAATCGGTTAATTGTTTCTACTGATATCACATTGCAAAATAAATATGCTTTTTGTGTCTCCGTATCCCTAGTTAAGTTAGATTGTTCATTATAATTTATCAAGTATTCTAGATTTTATATAAATAATAAAAAATATAAATAATATATTATAAATTTAATTTCCAAACTCGTTTTGTCGCCCCCTAAGGCGTGCACCCGCATTTTTTGCATGCATAGCATACAAGGCAGGACCGGCCCTGCACATGATATTATCAGATATTTTATAAAGATTTTGATAATAAGTACAACTTTTGTTTTTGCATACCAATGTTTACCCGTTAGTCTGCAAAGCGGGGCGCTTACGCGATTGCTTTAAAAAAATTCACAATTTTCAAAAAAATCCAAGATATAAAAAATACAAATTGTTTAAAATAGTAATTTTTTTTTCAAAAAATTTAAAAACCTCAAAAATTTAATTTGTTCAAATTTTCAAAAAAATGAAAGTATTTTTATAAATTTTAATTTTTGGTAGAGAAAATTCCAGAAATTTGCCTTAAGGCACGATGCCATGCATCCCAAGTTCAGAACTATAATGAACTATTTCAAATTAAAG